TAACGATTCTATGATTCTATGATTTTAAGGATTTCTAGGACTGTTAGCCTGAACTGTTCTTTTCCTGGTTTGATAAATTTTCAGGCTTAATTTCTCTACCACCTTTGAGACTATTGGGGATTTTTTTGTCATTGTTTTTTGTTTGTTTTTTCCCTGTCTGGTTTGGGGGAGGTGTGTTTTCCTTTTTTCTTTTTTTTTTTTTTTTTAAATCTATCCTATTTCAAATCTACTGTAACCTAAAATAGAAGCAAATGAGAGTTTGTTACGTGGTAATTATACTATAATTATAGGTCTGATTTTTAAGTCACTTGAGAGCTTTAGAGAAAGCAAGTTTTAACCTCTCACCTAAGAAGATCAACAGGAGATACAATTTGCCTTTGAACTGGAGTTATTAACTTTGAAGCCTAAACTTGGTGGTACATGCTTCTCCGAACACAGGTAACATCCAACTGCTGAACGCCAAACAGAAATTTCCTGTTTCTTCATACATAAAGACCTTGGTTTTATTTACACTCCCACCTATTCTAAATGTGGAAACAGTAATGAAAAAGCCCACTGTTGAGAAAAGTTACCCTGTGGAAAAAACGGCTTTTTAAAAAAAAATACATCATGCCTTGAGAACTTCATATATCTGAATACAGAAATATCTTGAAACTGTTTTAAATTGTCCGATTTGATTAAAAATAAATCTAAACTGTAGTGCAAATAGCATGAGGAAGGGAGAGGTTGCAGTGAAGATCAGTTTTTGGTTCTCTTTGCTTTTGCATGATGACTGGTAGAAGAGAGAGACTGAGCCAGCTTCAAGAAACAAAGTTCTCATCCACCAAGATCTTCAAAAAGCCAAAGCCTTTATATTTATCTACACTACCTGTCATTATTGTGCTTTTGTTGCTATCTGTCAATATTAGCTGATATGTACATTGGTGAAAACACAGAAGAAAAGTTTCTAAGCATGAACTATTCCTGAAAACAAACAAAACCAGAAAAAGTATAGACTTCTGGGGGGTAGAATGCATTCTAAGTTACATGCCATGAGTACACATTATGCAATTGTATCAGTTTCAGTTTTCACAATCCACTGCAAAACGCAACAGAACATGATCTTACTGTGTGCCTGGAGAATACAATAGACTTTAAATACATTTCTGTCAAGGGTGCAGAGGAATGTTCTTTTCCCCAGAGCAGGAAGTTAGCAGACATCAAAATACATGACTTTTCATTAGAGGGAAAAAAGGATTGATTAAAGAGAGAATACGCACTTTGCCGTGTAGTTCCAAAAAGATATTACTGCTGTTACACTTACAGAAAGGATGGATCTTTAACTTCAAGTAAGTTGTGCAATTCAGGGATCTCTGTATAAGAGAATGCCATATGTAATCAATCAGAGTTCCAGAAATAGGTTGCTTACAGCATTCATCCACTAATTCATTTCCTTGAAAAGTAAAAGGATCACAAATAGAAGAAAATCCAGACCTTAAATCTCATGTGGTGTCTTAAAAAGGGGGGGAGGGGAGAGGAGTTATAAAATAAGCTCTAGGGTATACCAAAGCATGAGAAATTTGCTAAGTTTCTTCAAAAATTGTGTGAAAACAACAATAAAGACGTGTGCCAAAATGGAAAATTAAGAAAGAATAATAAAAGTATAATAAAAGTGTGTTCAATTTTACAATCTTTATTCAAGGTTAAATAACACCTTTTTTACAGAAACAAGTTCAGGCATTTACGTGTTTCATTCAAAGAGACTAAGATAAAAAACGTCTCTTTTTTTACTTTTAGATTGTGTGTGATAAGTTTTGCAGGGCAATAACTCCCTTATGCCCACTGCAAAACAAACTTGAACTTCTGTATAAAGGCAGACAAGACATGGAGAGTATTGCACTTGACATCTGAGTCTTGTATCCCAGACTCATTACCCACTAGTTATATTACAAAACGAAGTTGAATGCAACCTGGACATATAGAATACATGTTAACATGCAACTTTTATAAATCAAATGAAAAATTATCCATTTAACACACATTACTGAAATTACCATTCTACAGAATGTAAAAGATACACAAATACCATAAAATCGCTAATGATTATTCTTTTATTCAGTTTAACTCTTCAGTGAATAGAAGTATTATTATTAAAAAATGTTTTGGCCACTCTCAAGGTCCAGCCTCAGGTCAAAACAATATTGATGAAAACAGCAGAAAGACTTTTTCATCCCACTCACCACACACAAACCCACTCATCATTTGGTGGAGAAAAAAAAAGAAAAAGATGAACTTTGGTACAAATGCTACAAGATAAAAATAATATAGTTAATAAAAAAAGATGAACACTACTCTTGTTTCTAGGGTGAATGCCAAGTAAGATCTTGACAGTTCTTGAAATCTGGGGGTTTAGTCAAAATTTATGTTCTAAATTAATGCTGTTAAAAGGATGGCTCATATGAATGAGCCTAGTTCTTTGATATCCCTCAATAATAGAGACCTTCCTTGCCAAGCTCTTCTATTTTCTTTGATGAATTCTTAATTATTTGAGTAATTTCCATCCTGATGATTTTGAAAGTGTACAGAACATTTATAGTACAGTCAGTCACAGCAGGGAAACTGCAAAGCATACCGCCAGATTTCTATACATCTTTGATAATTTGGAGAGAGATTGCTAGGAGGAGTAATTGGACTGTAAACATTGTCTACAAACCAAATTGGATCTTTGCTGATGATCAGAAGATGCAAGTGATGGGAAGAGAGTAAGTAGCTTTGTGAAAGAGATCTCCTGTAGGAACAGGGAATGTAGACCACCAAGCATTTGATATGAAATGCGAACATCACTTGGTTAATAACGTTTGAATACTGAAATGTATTTCAATATTGAAATGGGTGATCTACAGAAGAAGGGATTTCAACCCTAATTTTGAGCAGCAGAATCAGCCTTCTTAGAAACACAACTTAAAAGGTATTTAATAAACAGTATATATTTTTATTACTTTAAAAGTAATAAAAATGCTTTCATTTCTTTCAGAGAAAGTTTGTCATTTGATGACTCCTACATGAGAAACAAAAGAGTAACAGATAATTTGCATGGGCTAAATCCAGATTTCCCTAGTCCCTTAGGCAATCCTGACCCAAGTGGAATCTGAGACAGAATCCAGGGGCCAGCTTTGCCTCCCACAAGTTTACCCATGTGCCAGGGAAACAGGATTTGGTCCCACGTGTAACTTGCACAGACATTGTGAGTCTAGCGGTTGGAATGGCCCCAGATGCAAGTCTTTGTCTGTGCACAGTTTCCACTATGAGATATGCAGGAATACTGAAGAATACAGATGTGAACCTGTAATTAATCTGTTCCAGTTTAATGACAGCCATCATTTCCTTCACACTGCAATAATTTCGTATTTAATATGTGCTTATAGCACCACCTTATTTCCAAAGGCATCCGATACTGTTTATTTCTCTTTGCACAGAAATGTATACCATAGGTTCTCATCCGCTAATATATAGTATTAACCAGTTTGTTTAAACGAAACAATCTTTGTAAACCAAAACTAATAGTTTCACTGAAACTATATCCTGATCTGTAACCTTTACTCCAGTAGGCTTTGGATCAGGCCCTAAAACAGGCATGGGTCAGAGCTAGATAATATATCAGTCTCACATCCAGGATTTGTAGAGGATATAGAGACTGAACTTGCACATACTTTGTAAATATTTATTACAAAATGGACATCGAGTTTTTTAGATCAAATCTATGATTTACCATAGGGAATGTATGTAATTGTTTGTCTGTGACTGTGTAGATGTATTTTTGATTTCTAAGTCTTCTTTTGAAAGTACATTCATATGTACATTTTGACCATCTGTTCCAGAGTACTAAAAAATGCAGAGGAAAAGTGATATTAAAAAGTAAAGTACATTATTGTTACCTCAAAATAGCCCAGTGTCGTAATTATTTATGCCAGCATGTTAGCTGATTTTGTTGGGGCTTTTTTTTCCCTAATGCTATACATGGTAACAGTATTACAATTTAAGAATTTATGGCAAGTTATTAGAAACTAGCTCAAACTGAGATTTAAAAATCCTCATTAATGTCATGGAAATAAATATGAAGTGGAATCCATAGATCTATTTGTTGCTGAGTTTGAAAAAAAAAAATCAAAACCAAAATTAAACAGCCCAAAAGAGCTGAATACATAATTTCACACATGAATAAATGGTTTGGCTGCTGGGCATTGAAAAAAAACCTCACCTTTTTGGATATATCAACAAAAGAGTACTGTCTTTGTGTGTGATACTGAGTCTTTGTGTGTGAACTTTCCCCACATGTAAAGGGCTCCTGCAACGGTTCATGTAATGGTCCAGTGGGATTTATTTTGAGTGCCTAAACAGGATGTAAATGGTGAAAAGGAGTTTTGGTAATCCTATGGTTTAAAGGTTCTCTACTGAGGTCTCTAATTTACAAATATTTATCTTTTGCTCTGGATCCTCTCTACTAGAATTTAGGAAAAAAAGGTAGTCTATGCCTGGAACAGAAAACAACTCTGCAAGTGAATAGGGCTTGATCTAGCTTTCCCTGAGACAACCCCAGGGACTGGTTTCTTCAAGAACATCAAACAGCAACAAGGACAAGGAAAGAGGGAAACGGGAAAAGAAAGAATTAGAGAGGAGATGTTTCTGTATGCACTATATATAATAACAATAACACTACTTGTTTCTGATGAAAAACTATTCAGTCATACAGGTAATTGAGGAACCTCTAACCTCAGTATTTTAAGCAGCATTCATGAAAAATATTATCTTTTTAAATTTAAACCAGCCCCCCAAATCGACTGGTACAAATACATTCCTAAACACAAATATATGGGATTGTGTGTATGAACAAAGTAGTATACAGCTTATTGTATATACCTAATTTCACAAAAATAGGCTTACATATGATAATTTTTAATCCTCAGTATTAATGAGAAAATTAAAAATATTTGTGATGCTATTTTTTTTAAGATGGGGGGGGCTTTAATATTAAAGGTATTTTTAGAAAATATTTCTACTAACCTTTACCACTAATACATTACCTATAGTTTTCCCAACACAAGATATTTTTTCTCTAACAGAATGATTATACCACTGCAACATGCAAACAAATATCACATAATCAGCTGAGAGGAAACAAGTGGTTTTAGATTTCCTGCCAGTAAATCTAAGTTTGTAGTGTCAGAGGTGCTAATAGAAATCTGCAGCCATGGCCCCTTTTTGCTTTTCTTGGTTCTTGTAAGTCACATTTTTAAAAGTGGTTGTTGAGCCTCTGTACAGTGGATTTGTTTCCTGAAAAAAATCAAACAGAAACAGAAGAAATGGGAGTCATGCAATGTTTAACTCATCTTGCCACTGCTTCAGCTGCAAGCAGATGTAGCTGCACGCCACTGCCTTGAGCATAGCTGTTCAGCAAAGAGATCATTTTGGTCCATGATTCCTGATCCAGCGTTATGATGAAGGCCATATATGCACCAGCTAGTACCACTCTGCTTCCCAATGTGCAGAAGAAGATGATTTGTAGTGTACTTATTGAGAAACTTGGGCCAGACATCTGCCTGACCCCATAACGTGTTCCCAACAGCGGGCGATGCAGGCTGCCCATGGAAAAGCTGACACGTTTCACAAACCTCCTGGGTCAGAGGGGATGTCCTCCTTCTATGGATTTGTCTACAGACATTTTGAATCCATGCAAACCTTTATCATCCCAAATATCTTTGGAAATAAATCATACGCTCTAAGCAGGTGTTGTGTAATGATGTCTTTTGGGTTCTTTGGAGCCTGCTATCTCACTGTACTTGTATGGGAAAAGCCAGTGAACAAGCATCCCATCTTCAGTTTCCCCAGTTATCATTTTACAGACCAGTAACACACCCTCCTCCCACTGTTTCTTTTCCCTAGTGAGGACTTCTGGCCTATTCTTGTACAGACGTCATTTTGTACCTTTGATCAATTTAGAATAGCCTTCAGCAGCTCACTTATATTCCAAGCCACTGAAATTCAGATTGGTCTGTGTGAGGCAGCACAAACCAGTCTATGGTCAGGAACATGTTTCCCTTCGCATCTGCCTCCCAGATTAAAATAATGCACATCATCAAGCAATGCTTTATCAAGTTCAACATAACTTGTGTATCAAATGTTGTTGTTGGACCATTCTAAAAGCACAGATAGGGTCTCAGCGGTGAGGTGTGACTTGTCACGGTCATCTCGCTTGAGCCACACAGATTACCACGCTTTGGCAGAAGGGTAAATCCCACCCAGGCTTTTAATCCTGGCCTCTCATCATTCACTTCCTACCATTTCCTCTTGCGACAGAAAAGAAAATTAAGATGTTTCTATCAAGTGTATCCTTCCCTTCCTTCTTACCATATGTAGCTCTCCCAAAGGATTAAGAAAACATTCTGAAGTGACCTTGCCTATAAGTAACGGGTTTTTCCTATCTCAAAAGCTGAAAGGCCAGCAGTGTCCATTCTTGCAGAAATGTTGCAATCACAGGGCTTTGTACGAGAATGGAGCGGGGTGAACGGCAGCGTATTGCCTGTCCTCCTGACACCCACCAGAAATGCTTACTCAACATGCTTTTTTTCAAGGAGCCTCAGAAGTCTTAAAGCTTTTGCAGAATAGCAAAAAAGTCAAGGGCAGAAAGGAAAGAAGAAAAGGGAACATGTGGCATAAGCTTGCATTAGACATCTGCAAGCTATAAATAGAAGATAAGGCCTGAATTTCTCTGTCCTTTTACCTACATTTTGGACAGCTTACATTCATTGCTCCTCTGTGTGAGTGGGCTCTCATCATGACAGTGGCCATCAATAATCCCTCTTTCCTAGAAAAGGCTCTGTTTCTGGGAAGGGGGTACACCTCTGATAATTACATAGGCAGCAAACAACTTTGCTAAGATTAATCAAGGGCGAGGTACTAATTAAAAAACAACTAATTAAAAAAAGTCATCTACACATTTTACATGTGGAAGAAATTAAACCAGGAGAAGGACCTCAAGCTATTTTTCATCCCTAAAAAAAAATCATAATTTTACTTTATAGAATATTAAATGTAGTGAAAACCTACCAGTAAAATCTATCAGTTTAAAAGAACAAAACCTAGATACAGAATTTTAAAGGCAGTTGTGGATCATGCAACCAAATTAAAGAACCTCATGTATAATCAATGCATTTAACGTACCGTTTGCCATTTAACTTTTGATTTTTCTGCTTCAAACTTGGCCACCTCTTTTCGGTCTTGAACTGACACCAGTAATTTCCATATACAAAGTAAAACGATGCCAATGAGAAGGATAGCAAGGGTGACACCCACCATTATCATCGGGATATTTGGAAGCTGTGGGCAATCTGTGGAAACAAAACCAATTATGACTGTGGATATCCAATCAATACATTTTAAGCAATTAAAAGCAGCCAAGAGGCATGCTGGGCTTCTCATTTGCTGCAAGCTGTGCATGCCTTTTCCTTCAAGTCCATGTTATTTTCCTCCTGCTATCTTGCTAAAGCGTTCGTGAAACTGGCTGAAAAATATTGCATTAATACGTTAAAAAAATTAATTGTGAACTTCTTCCACTGCTCTTTTACTGTGTTGATTAGCAGCTGCTGGATACAGACCCAGATTCTGAAGAGAAAAGCTAGAAAATTATTTTCAGATCTGTGTCAATATAATTCTAAAAAACAGGGCTGAGCTGACAAGATTATGAATTTTACAATGTTACAGCTGAGGCTGTACTTTGATTAACTGATATTCAGTGTGTTACAGAGGAAAAGATTCCAGTGAGATCTGGAATCCAGGGTAAAGTCACCAAGCATATTGAGAAAATAGAGAAGACTGCATTTCACTCACGAAAACAATGAGGAAAAAGTCCATTAGACTTGCTGAAAATGCTGGACTGAACAATTTGAAGGAACTTTGCATTTCAAGTTCTGCAATAAATTTTATCCTACAAAATTTGAGACAGTCAAAATTAAAAACGAAGGTTTTGCTTCGCCAAAACACAAAGAAGTTTGATTATTTTAATATTAAAAAGTATTGTTCATGGAAGTTGGTGAGCATTACTATTTTACAGAATTTTCTGCGGAACCATGGTTTAAGGACATTCAAAAATTAATTTCAGTCTTATTTGGCTTACATGATTGTATTTCACATTACTTTTTTGCTTGATGTCATCGTTTAACTAATTCTGAGGGGTCTGGTTTGAGCAGTGGGGTAACGCTCTGGCTACTGGTGCCATCTTGACTTCGGTTCCATAAATTAAAGCAATTTCTAGAGCATTTCTGGAGGTCTCATCCCGGTTTATGTTCACATGTATCACAGCTGCTGCTGCACAGTAGTTTCAAGGCCCAGGAGCAGAAGAGCAGATGACAGCGAAGCTGGTTATTGTGGAGTTATGGGAGGGCCACTACACAGCGTTTAATGAACTGTGCTTTCCTTAAGATATTTATTTCACTTTTTTTTTTTTTTCCAGATCTACTTCAAATGCATAGTAAATGTATTTAATAAAGAGAAAATCTTACCCTTAAGTTCTTGAGTCTGAGGGTTGTAGTTTACACAAGGATGTGCTTCTTTAGTACTAGCTTTTTTACAACCATCTTTGCTGTAATAGTAACCTATACAAAACCAGACTACTCTTCTTAGGGTAGAAGCTGCTTTTTTGCACAATGAAATCACTTTCATTCTCACAGGTATGCTAGAGAAAGGCTACACAAAGTGTTTACAAAATAAACGCCATTTGTGCCAACAGAAGGAAGTTCAAATGTGTGTGGCTTTCCCTAAAACATAACCAACATTTAGCACTGAGGCACTGGGAGAGTCCAAAAAATCAGCATTTTTGTTGCCTGGAAGCTAAACTGTTTGGCAGCTGATAAGTGGTGTCTGTGTTCTCTCCTGTCGTGTCTTGTCCTGTCCTTTAATGAAAAATCAGTGGTGAAACAGTAAATAAATAAATAATTTGAAATGAAAGAATGTAAACAGATCTGTTGGATATCTGTCAGTTATGCAAAATATTCAAAAATTAATGATACTGCAACACTAAATGTAATTATAAATATATTTCAGCATTTCATCAGGTATACTCAATCAGATAGTCTTTTGGATATTTGTCCATCTATTAAAGATATGTCATTTCAAAGTGAATTATAGTTTTCTCATATAATGCAAATGATATTTGCTATCATCGTCTTAGAATTGCACAGGACTTTAGAAGAATTAACTTACTCTTACAGCCCAGGGATCATTCTGCCCATCTTTCATGAAAGGCCAAGTATTTATTTTACTACTGCATTAAATAAGTACTTGAGGAGGTGCTCTTTTGGCTGGGCAGAGGCGAGCTACAAACACAAGGAGGTGCAGTGCAGCTTACAAGAGCTCAGTTTCTAGACAGCTCACCATGCCTGTGTTTTAAAAACAGATTTCATGTACAAAAAGCAATATTCACTGCTTACCTTTCTGTTCTATGCTATGAATGACTGTCCTTCCCTGTTCATCCATAGCCAGTAGAAATGTGGTTATACATTCATTTTCCCCCTGCAAAGAGCAGGGAATGGATTTATCCTCTGAATAATCTGCAGAGGGAGTGGAAAAAAGTCATTCATCAGATCAAATGAAATTTAACAAGAAAGACTGCTGGCATCATGTTTGTACAACCTCATCTGGATGGTAAAGAGTGAAAGACGAAAGCAGAAATACCCTCAGAATTTATACTAAATTTAATTACTTTTCTTCCAACCCAAGCTTTGTTTTGTTTCTGATTTTTCACTTATGTTTCTGAAGAACTGATGCAGGTGTTGTCAATCTGCACTGGCCATCTAGTGCACCTCATTAATCTAGCATACGGTGAATTTCAATGAATTCAAAGTGCTTCCAGGATGCTTAACCACCAGCTGTCTAGGAAATGTAATAGTCCCCAATTATAGAACAAAGTAAACAGTATGTTCTCTTGGGTTCACAGCTACTCCTACTGCGTCTAGATTATGTTTCAGAAGTAGATATACATACATCAAACAGCAATGGATACTGTTAAAAGGGCTGCCATTTATTTCTTCTACAATAGCCCTCTCAAAGATTAGTGCATCTAGTACTGTCACAACACTAAATATAGATTAATAACAGAAAACTGCGATTCTGGGATCTTTTTAATGTGATTCCAGAGGAAGCAGATAAAAAGTGACCTGAGATGAGAGTCTGCCCCCATTTATTTGTCTCTCTAGTTAATGCAGATTTGCACAAAACTTAATCAATTTTTCTTTTTTTCCAGATGATTCTTAACCGGGAAAATTTTTCTGCTGAGAAAAGTTCATTCAAAGGGAACAGGGAGACAGCAGGAAGCTGGCAGGGATGATACAAAGCAAATAAGACAATTGAAAATTGAGACTACAGGTCCAGAGCCAGAAATGCTGTAATTTGGAGCATAACCATTATACAATATTTTTACAAAGCAAAAATATCTGACCTTATAACTGTGTGCAATAATGCCTCTGGAGCTGAACACTTACTATGTTTCCATATAACCCATTATTTGAATAGCATTGGAAATCTAGGTATGTTTTCCAAAACATTTTTAGAAAAACTTCTTGGGTTTGGTTTTTAGAGCTGAGAAAAAACAGTAAGCTTCTCAAACATTTCTTTAAAAATAATTGTCACTCTCCATTATTTCTTACCCATTCAAAACCCTTACTGAAATTTCATTAGAAACTGTGCTAAAATTCTTAAGTCCTCAAACTTTAATATGAAGAGTAATGAAATATAAAGTAGGAATCAGACAGGAATATAGATTTTAAAGAAATCTACTGTACATAAAGAATTAAGTGCTCACTTTTTTTTTATATTGCTTATTATCATAAGGTTTGCTCTTATAGAATATTAAACACCATGGAAATTATGAAAGTATAAATAATTGACTACCCTGCAGTCCTTTTCTCTGCTTGTTATAAACAGAGAATCATATGTGCTTGGATTTTAATGGAAACATTAAACATGCTCTTGATTTGTGATAATCTTGTATTTAACCTGTTGCCTGTCCTTGGTGGCAGAGCAATGTGTTTGTTATCTATGAAGGCGACAGGCAGACAAGAGTTGCTGATTTAACAAGATTTGGTTTTGTTAGAAGAGCCACAAACTGCAGACTGAGTGTACTGAATTAACAGCACTCATTGCCAGGTCACAATTCCAGTAACACTGTCACATGTTTTGCAATATTTGTTGTTTCCCAACTCTTTTAAGCAAGCAGATCCAAAGAATATTACCTTGCTTTTTTTTTTTTTTTAAAAAAAAAAAAAGAAGAAGAAGAAGAAAAGGGTCATTGTTAGCTATCCTGAAGGCAGAGAAAAACTTGCAGGCATATTCAAATATCATCCAGCAGGCAGTAACTGCAAATATATTAGTTATTTTTAAATCTTACCTTTTAATTTAATGTCATTATTTGAGACAAAGGGGAGCAGAAATCTGATTACGTGCAAGGATGTAGAAATGAAAGCAAAGATTCCAGTTTAAGCTATTCAGAATTCAGCTTATGCTTAGTATTTTTATTTCTCTGATGTTATTTTTAGGATGAGGGATCACTAAGAGAGACTATTGCATAGATTGTTTTCAGTTCATCAGCACAAAAATTTGCCTAGGTAGGTAAAATTCTGTAATTTACAGCTGTGTAATTTTACCCATTCTGCAATGAATCATCATACTTTTCCCACTTCTGCCTGCAGCCTGATTCCATTAATTTCAACGGTATTTGAAATCACTGGAATCATACTGGAAGAAGAATTGGGTAACAGTGGCAAGCTGAAGCCTTGAAGTGCAAAAGACTCCTAACAGATACTTAGAGAAAAGATTCAACAAAAAATAAAATACTGTAAATTTAAATGTCATTATGCCCTTTCTTGTTTGTCTTTTGCTCAATGAAATGCTTTTGTTGAACAGTTTCATTTCACTTTGAGTCAGAACAACAGAGCGGCACTGATACAGAGGTTTAATTCAGGCTCCAGCATTCACTTTGCTGCTGCACTGGGAATTTGTGCAGTGTCAACACTATGGGGTCGGAAAAAGTCCATTTCTCCAAGGAAAGTGTAACTGTCCCTGTTGGGCTTGTGGCAGGAGCAGCCTGGTGCCCTGTGGCCGGGGTGATGACAGGAGCCACTTTTTAGAAATTGGTGTTCCTCCTGGGTAGTGAGTAGAGCAACAAGGGCTACTCTTGCACCCATCTGGCAAAGGGGGGATTAGCCTGATTTAATATTCAAATATTAGAAATGGGTGAAAATAAATATTCAAAAGCAATGCCTGACGTGGAGATAAGGCCAGTAACTGTGAAGCCATAAGCACCTGCCATCCTGTGCCCTGCTGAATCCCCAGCGGAGTGGCTGCCGGTGACCCTGCTGTGGGGCCCAGGGCGAGAAACCCCCGGCACCCACAGAATCGAAGCAGAGGATGTGAAGGGCACGGCTCAGAGCCTAAAACAGGTATTCCCAGGAAACAGGAGAACGTAAAGCCTACACTTTTCTTATTGCTCCACAGTTTCAGTCATTGTGTTGCAACGTACATATGTGAAAGAGAAAGTAAATCTTTAAAGTGCTATTTTATTTAACCTAGAGCTATTTCTAGCATTAAACAAACTGAAATATAAACCAGAAAGAAGCATTATGCTTATGAAGTTGCTCAATAATCTGTCTTAAATATTATGTGGTGGTCTAGTTATAACACTTTGTAATTAATTTTTTTGTTGTTTAGGTAATACAGATCTGATTTTAGGGCTATTTTTTTGTTATTATTTTGAAGATTATTTTATTCCACTGAGGACTTCTTAATGTATCTACCTCCATGTCAAAACAAATCCTTAGAGATATTACACAAGCATTTAAGATGAAACACAGTTTGGAACAGCTTCTCTTTTTTTTTTTTTTTTTTTAGAGAGAGAGGTTAGGATGGGAACAGTTACCCAGCCTTCACTACAGCAGTTGCTGTAACTGCTGCAAATAAATTTTAAATCTAAAGAAGCAGCTGACAGTCCCAATCAGGGAAGCACAGGACATGAAAAAAAGGAAATAAGCAGGAACAGGAGATGATGTTGTCATGCTCACATTCCTGTGACCTCTGTCTATGTGAACAGAGCCATATAAATGACTGTTTCTGCTCTTGATTAGTATTCATTATATTTGAAAGTAGAATGTCTTATATATTCCTAGCTAGAAATATCTGTCATCTGGCAATAGCAACCTGAAAACTTTACTAACTGAAGAGATGATGCAATAAAAGTGCTTATATGTTTTTGAAGCTTGTAAAAACATTTTTATATTTATAAACAAATATTGATGTCTAGAAAGGCAAAGCATGATAATAATTTTAATAAAAATGCAAAATTATAATTAGTTTTCCTGACAAGGGCAATATTTGGAACTTTTGAGCTCTGTATTATGGAGTAATGTCATCAAAAACAAAAGGTGTAGCTTTGTTGTAAAGATGTACATCGGTGAAATTTCTGCATGCATGCAGTTCTGGATGGGCTTCCAACAGTTTGCAGACACAAACCTTAGATGTGCATACAGCATTCTGCATTGTCATCCTAATTCTTAGATTTGTCTTATTTAATGCTTATTGTACATCTGTGATGTGGATATAACATACCTATGTCCTGCCTCATCTAACAATTGCATTTTGCCATAGGATTGGGACTAGAATTGCTGTTAGAATAAATACGGACTGTCTACTGAACAGGCAAGCACCTTCCTCTACAGGAAAGAAAAAGATGCACTATTTCATTTTAAGTTGTTTTTTTTTTTTTTTTTCTGAGGGTACTATTTCATTCAAGAATAATTCCTATTCCAGACATTCCCATTGATGGAGGACAGTTTTGAATTAAAGCGAGCAACTGAAAGATGTGCTTAGTGTTTAGAATACTAGAAATATCTTTGCCACAGGTTAAAGGGCTGTGTCTAGTTGCCAACTGTAATCACGCGTCTGCATAAGGACTGGAATCAGGTTTAGCATTTGTTTGGTAAAAGAAGCCGCACTGGAACTCATGGTACAGGCATGACTTAAACTCAGGGGCTTTCATCAGCCACTGATTCGCAGGACTGGTATTTATTAAATTCTATACTTTCTTACATAAACTGCTTAGAAAGTAGGCATGATCCAATGAGTTAATTAACCTGGAAGTGTAATAGCAGCCCTGATCTTCATTTCCTACTTACCACCGAAGAACTGTAGATGGACAGGAATTGTCTTATGAGCCTTAATACAATTCCATGGCAGAAAAACAAGGCAACTTTCAAATATAAAATTACTGAAAGTGGAAACTGTCACTAATCACGCACACACAGGAAAGGAAGACTGAGTAGACAAACCCTTTGTGGTGCTGACAGTTGCATCAACGAATTTGCATTTTTCACTGCATTCTCCCAGTGACTTGTCATCAGAAGCCAAGTGACATTCCACACAGCTCCTGTGGAAAATAATTCAGCAGCTCATCAATCTCTGCCTGTCACAAAGCAACAATATAAAAGCCAGTACGTATGCATCTGCATTTTAAAAAGAAGCTAAACAAAAGGTCCTGTGCTATGGATACAGTAGTTCTCAGAAATATGATAGGTATTGCCACCAAAAAAAAAAACCCAACCAAAAAAAAAACCCAACCCCACCTGAATAAAGGTATTGTGGATAAGCTCCCTCTTGTCCTCTTTTCTTTCCTAGCTTATTAGCTACCAGACAGAACCCCAGGCAACATTAGTCATGTAGGTCTATCAAAGACATGGGGTTACTCACACATAACATTCGTTTTCAAAAATAAATACTCTGAACTAAGCTTGCACTAAATACTAGCTGAAGGAATGCCTATCAGATGAACAATATCTGAAATGGACTTCAGAGAGATCAAGCTGGGGCACCTACTACATACCTTCCTTTGTTGAAAGTCTATTGATTAATGTATTAAAACAGTATTCAGGTATCTCAACAGATGTCTCTTGAATGTGATTACTTGTCTCAGGAACCGCTTACTTAGATCCCAACTATACTAATGCAATTTATTGGAAAATTATTGACTTTATTTAATGGCAGAATAACTGAAATATTATTTAAAAACACGAAGTCTAAACCAATTCCTTTAGAAGACTCTGAAAATCGTCCCAGAAATTCAATGAGGATTTCAGTAAATCCAGAGTTTATTCATGGAAAAAAGAAACAACAAACAGAATTCAGATATGAAAATTTTTGATGCAAAATGTATCTTGCTGATTCGTCACGAATAGCTTCAGCCAGATTGAGAGGCCGAGACTCTGAGAAGCAGCCTGAAGAACTGACTGCTTAAAGAAAAGAACTGCAACAAAACATCCCCCCCTGGCAATCTCCTGTTGCATTGAGTTACATATATCCATGGGAATATGCTGAGGCTGCTGAGATTATCTTCACGGGACGAAGACGACCTTCTCACTCACTCTGGAGATGGCGAATAGTAAAAGTGAGCGGGTAATGGGATAGCCTCTATCTCATGGAGACAAGTTCAGTGTTGTTGGTGTTTTTGTCATATTTGCAATGTTTCTTATACTACCACTCTTTTTCTCAGCTGCCTAGCCATTGATCTCCATCCCCTCTGACCTGGTCTTTCAGCTCTCTTGGTTACTCTACCCAGGTATTCCCAATGTTCTCTCTCTTTTGGCTTTTGTGTTTCTGCAAGGGAAGACAGTGAAACAGAGCAAAAAGATCTAACGCTGCATACAATATAAATGTTTAAATAGGCTAACTTAATGCCCATCGTGTAACTTTATATTTCTTATTCTCTGCCAAATTGGGCAAAGCAAAGCAGCAGCATTGTCCTTCGTCTTTAGAGCAGTTGCATGCAGAAGTTCTTTTTACTTAAAGCTTTGAATAAACTGATAGGCTTGCTTTTGTAGGTCAAATTTAGCACTAACAAATGATGATTTAATCACATGCCATAGAATAGCTTCTCATCTCAGATGTAGTGTAGACTGCAATGGCAGATATGAAAATACAGTGGTAGAGAGCTAGTATAGAAGAGAAATGGGCCTCAACTCTAAATAAGTAGACATGACATCGTCATGAAACATTAATGTGACTCACACTGACTCGGCGCTCAGCAAGCAAAACCAGGGTCATTAATAACATATACTCTGTGAAGCCTAATTCAACTTCTAGCTTAAATTTCTACTGAAGACTGCTCATTTTGGTCTGACTTTAGCCCTGCAAGAGCTCACGTAATACAAGCATAAGCATGGGTGTACTTAGAGTGGTCAGCTTTATGTCACACATATTTTTGGTTGCTTTTCCTATCATGCCACCGTAGCATACACCACGCATCACAGCAGGAAAGCTGCATAAATTTTGTATGCTCAGTGAACAGAAGACACTTCACCTTTTACAATCAATTTATCATTAACTTATACATGACATACAGCTACCCACTGATTTAATCCCCAGTCCATGACCTAGTTTATCATAGTCAGGCCTCTTTAATTCAGCTAAGCTTAACTGAATTTGGACCATGAATTTGCACATGTGTAAAGCTTGAGCAGACAGCATGACCTTATTAATTCATATGCCTGAGAATGGTAATACAAATGCCAATTTTTTTCTGTGAGTCCTCATTTTTGCTTTAGCACCTATGCTGGGATGTTTTCATTCTATACTGTGGACTGGAAGGAAGTTCATCTGGTTTTGTCTGATGTTATCGTATAAGGCCACCTGTCTGATTAGCTGTACAGCCAGGGACAGCAGTGGAAGTGTGAAGTTTTACTTGTGCTGCCTGAAGGTGATTAAATTGTTTTCCATAAAATTCTTTTGTACCAGAGTAATGCTGATAAAGGGTTGATGTACGAGTTACGACTACCCCTCTCAAAGGACAAAAAAGCTCTCGGGTTCTGGGCTGTAAATTCACTTTACAGTAGCGGCAGTAAGGACACCGCTGAGGCAGTATAGGAAATAGATACCTGGATGATACAAACATCAGAGATGTAAAACCAGCACATTACCGCCTGGAACTGCAAGGGTCACCGCAGAGAGGGCATTTTTCACATGTTTGGCCTGAAGCCCCCGGATGGGTGCAAGCACACGACCCACAGACGCATTCGCCTCTCCCACTGCACAGCGTCCCATCCTCAGCAATGCAGGCGCTGGTGTCAGTTGTGCAATTGCAGTATTCACCAGTCCATCCACTGTGGCACATGCATTCCCCACAATCACAGTCACCATTGCCTGGAAAAACATTTATTATACTTCAAATCATTCTCTTAAGAAGAATCTGAATAACAGCCTTTAAAATCATTCTCCTTAACAGCAGATATTTTCCCCTCTCCAACTCTTCTCACTCTTAAACATCTTTCTTCCTCCCCCAGCATTTTCAGTCTTAAGTCAGAGGATCAAATTTTCGTTTAGACTGGCTGTAAGCCAGTGCAGCTCCATTCTCTTCACTGGAGTCCTCCACACAGATCTTATCTCTTGACAGTGCACAACCTAATGGGTAAATCCCCTCTCATTTATAGCAGCATAATTTCAGCCTGTCTACTCAGCACAATCTCATTGCTCGTTCCTGCCAGTTCAGTGCTATTCCCAGTGTTTCAATAGGGTCACTTCTGATTTATAACGATATAGCCCAGGAAAAAAATTATAAATACAAGTTCTCAAATTCTGATTGTATCTTACTAAGATAAACCAAGAATCATTGAGGTTACTGGCTTAAAATTATAAAAATATCAGAATTATCCTAAAAGTGATTAATCAAGGCTAATTAATTAAGATTGCTATGCTTCGATAATGATGTCAGAGTGAAATTGTACACTGGCTAACACCGATGTATGCCAATATACTTACTTAAGCTTCCTTAGAGCTACAATCATCTCCAGCCATTAAAAGTCTGACCTAGTGTGATGGTAGCTGATATGCTCCGATAAAGCCATGCCAACTTCGGACTAGCTATGGAGTGATTAAAGGTGTCTCATTTTTAAATTTGAAAACAGGGTTAAAAATTGTTTCTTGTTTTAAGTCTAAAGATCATTCAGAAATGGTAAATTACGCTTTATACAGACTTGATTGCAACTGAATATATGATGAAAATATAGATTCACAAGCTCATAGCTAAGAGCAAGATAATAAAGCTCTAAAATACAGACACTAAAAATAGCATCACGGGACCATACCTGCACACTGGAGTCCTCTGTGTCTCCCACACGAGAAGTCATCACATTCACAGTGTGGCCCGTACACCTTTCCGTATAGGGATGGGTGGCAGAGGCACTGCCCGCAGTAGCAGTCGCCTCTCCCGCTGCAGGAGCTCTGCTCTGCCGAGCCCTTGCAAGAGCTGGCACCGAGGGAGCTCTCGTCACATTCGCAGCGTGGCCCCACATACCCGGGGCTGCAGACGCACACCCCGCACTCGAACGATCCTTTCCCTTCATTGCATTTTGGGCTGTTCATCTCGGCCTTTGCCTGACAGTTACAGCTGCATTGGGGCTGAATTTCCATTTCCAGCGTATCACTGAGCCCCACTGGTTTTATCACAATATGCCTTCTGTTTTTTTCAGAAGAGGAGAGACTTACAGTCACATTGAAAGAGACCTGGAAGAGAAGATGGTGGCTGCTCAGAGCTGCAGCACAGGTGACTCTGCAGGGTGCTCTGGAAGCACATGTAGAGGACAGAACATGAGGGCTGTAGATACCACCTACTTTTTTGTAATTTATTTGGAGAAAGATTGTTTAATAAAGAGCAAACTCCCTACCTTGGTGTCCTAAATTCTCTGGACTACATGTCTTTTGAGAATTTGTTCTTTACTTACTGTGTCTCCCACTTTCACATGAGAGCATTTCCTCTGATGTGGAAAAAAGGTCCCATTGTTACAGATGGCCGTGAAAGAAAGATTGAGCCCTTCTGTCTCTCCTAAGATCTCCAGCTCCACCTCGGACCTCAGCTCCTTAAAGAAAAAAGGCATGAGATGACAATAGCACTGCCAAGCGCTGCTAATGCTCCATGTCTGTGTAACGTGACCTATAACTTAGCCAGATTCACACAGGAGTAAATTCGTGGGTTTGGCACTCTATTTACAGACTTCTCTATTGCAAGAAAAATGGGGAACGAGCAAAACAAAGCAAGTGCCGACAGAGCCGGCTTTCAGTGGAAAGCAATGGTGGTACCAGTTTAATATCCGCTGTCATGGGGCTTGTTTCCTGCCCTTGCAGGACAATAAATTCAATGCTTTATTAAATCATCTTTCATCACTAAGTGCTCTGCTGACTGATACAGTTTTCCCTTAGCTCTGCTCTTACTGAGGAATGGATTTGTGTCTCTGATTGCATTGCTAGCACTGGGCTTTTCCTGATTAGCCAGCCTATGTCAATATTGCTCCCTCTTTATCTCTCCTGCTAGAATCAAACCTCACAGTCTCTCTCACGGCAGGGCAGGCTCCAAGCTCAGTTTTGCCTTGGTGCGGGGCCTCCATGAGTTAGCCCGATGTTTCCAGGGCCAGAGCCAGGGTTGAGCCCCACGGTGAGCTCCCGCAGCCACAGGGCTCGCTCCCTTCCTTTCTTCTCCTGATGGAAATTCATTTCATGAGCTGTCAGTACTATTTCAAGTTGTATTCAACAACTTTCTCATTTCTTAAATCCATTTGTTTGACCAAACTTTCATTTATTAAGTGAAAAACTTACTTCCTGAACTATCTCATACCTGTTTTTTATATTTAGCTCTTTAAAATATTTTGTAGTAACTTTGCTTACACAACCTTAATCCAAAGCCTATGACAGACCACGAGGAAATTCCCTATGACTTCATTGGACTGTGAATCCAGTAAATGGAAATTTTTCAAAGGTACCTCATCAATTGCTGAGCAAAAGTCTCACTGACTTGGCTTTGTGCTCTTGCCAGCTTAATTGCTTTACAAAACAGCCCCTGCACTTCAATCAGAGCATGAGGAGCTTGCCGACCTTACTTCAGTGAATCATTCTAGCAAAGGCATCAGGATGACTCACTGGAGTAAAGGTCTGGTGGGGTAAACCAAACTAAAAGTAGAATAGGTACAAACCTGCATAAACAAATCCCTGTCCTTTGTATATGTCCTGGATTCCCCGGAAAATTGTCTTAGGCTTGTGTTTGGTGGGTTTTTTTTAACTGTCTTCATTTGGAAAACCTTGTCAGGAAACCAAAGCAACACATGTCGTGCAAGACACATTCAAGTAGTACCCAGAGCTCTTTCCAGCACACAGCCAGAGCAGTAAAATGGTGCCCTGGGCATCGGGTTAGTAATGTTGATAGCTCTGGATATGTCCAACTTTCCCTTCATGTTTGTTTTAGAGTTAGGTGGTTATGTTGCTATTGAAGCAATACAAAGAGTTGTAGATAACAATTTGTTTGCAATAGCTGGGCTCTCACAAAAGGACCAAATCTAGCAAACCTCTAGATAAAACTATGAATGTTGGTATGTGCTAACGTTACAGGAAATATCACCAAATAGTCCCTCTTCCACCAGCTGCAAAACTACAAGGCTCAAATAGAGTGCAACTGTGTGAGAAAATTAAATGCCGCTCAACACGAGGTCGTAATACTTTGAATCCTGCTGTCTTTACTGGGCCATTTGAACATGCCTTGCGGTTGTGCGAGGTCAAACGGCTCTCACAGCGTGGCACACTTTACGCCGCTGAAAATGAACACATAAACTGCAAAAAACTCCAGTTTCTTAGATCTTAATATCTGTGAGGACTTCTAATGGTGTTTTAAATCTACTAAGCTGCCTGGCCATAGATTAGGGACAAACAGCAGACAGTTTAGTGAGCTTTAGGCCATTCACAGAGAAACATTGTGGTTCAAAAATTTTTCTGAATGAAACAACAGACAAAACAGTGTTACCAACTTGTGCCTTTGTGTTACTTGTCCTTTTTTAATATATTATTTCTTTGGTCTAATTTCCCTGTAAGTGGAAGGACCAAGCACTGGAAGAAAAAAAAAAAAAGAGTGGAATTTTTCTGAATTTTAAAATCCTGAAATGACTTTAGCAAATGGCCTGGTATCTGTCGCAATGCATTTTAGCCTATAGCTCTGCAATACAAAATTATGCAGAATTCAGTGTTAAACAAAGCAGGCAGAAATATGCTTACAGAAGAAAATGAATCATACTTGGAAAGGACACGAGAACTTGTAACAAATATTTTGACAGCTCAGACTTTCTAACTTGCTTACTTCCTCTCTGAAGCTTTTAGATAGCAACACAGGGTAAGTGGTATTAGAAAACCTTGTGTTTGTACAGCAAACAAAGACCCAAAAGCACTTGAAAAGTGTTAAAAGATTTAGCCTAACTGTACTCTTGGGGGGGAAATAGTTATTTATTCCTTTTTTATGGGTAAAGAAACAGAGACACTGGGCATTGAATTGCACTGCTGAGAGTATCATGAAAAGTTTGGGACAAAAATGGAATTAGATCTTCTGTTTTGCATGTGATTTTTAACTATAGGTCTACAGTCATTTCCCCCTTCACAGTCCAAAAAAATTCATATGTCTTCACTTATGTCAAATAAGGTGGTTTTCAGTGTTTCCTGCTTGGAAGATTTTCAGTCATGAAGCAATAAGATTGTTAACCTTGAAGGTTAAGTGTAATAAAATGGGCTGCAGGAAATTTTGAGTGTGACATGTTGCTACTCGTACAATTTGTACATCTTGAAATGTATGTGGGATTTTAAGAACCTATGAGTAACTCTGGCACATGGTCCAGACATGCCGTAGCTGAATGAGGACACAAGGAGTTATGGCCCAAAGGCAGGAGCACCGCTCCTGCAGCTGCCTTCCTGCCACTACGGGAGGGGACCGAGCATCGAGCTCAGAGCCCCCTCCAAACCTGCCCACAGAACGGCTGAAAGCAGGACCAGCTGAAACAACTCAGGAGCTGCACCAAGGTCACCACTGACAGCTCTGGGAGATGATCTGCTCAAAGCATGCAGCAGCTAAAAAGCCAACAATGTCCTGGGTGTCAACAAGTAAGGACGCTGAGAACGAGACAGAGGGCATCATTTTGCCTCTGTATAAACCTTAGTGTGCTCTGTCTTGCATACTGCAAGCTTTTCTGGTCTCCACATCTCAGGAAGGACTCATTGGAGTCAGGGACGGTAAAGAGAAGGTCAGCTGAAGTCACCAAGGGGATGGAGCAGCCAAGGAGAGACTTAAAAGGCTGGGATTGTCCAATCTGGAGAGAAGATTGGAGGGGTGGAAGGTGTCTTAGTAATAAAATATTATGATATCATGAAGACAGGAAGATAAGGTGAATGCAGAGCTGTTATTCACCAAACTCTGCAATACCAGAATTAAAGCGCACTCAGTGAAACTTTAAAACACAGGGAGTAGTTTAAAATGGGAAAAAGAAAAATGTAGCACAGTGCAACTGAACTTTGTGCCACAGAAGGCAAAGGAGACTGCAAGTATCAGCAGGTTCAAAATGGAAACTAGGAAAAAAAAATCACGGACAATAGGTACATAAGGAGACACTAAGAGGAAGAGGCAAGGATGCACTCTGCACCTTTCCAATATTCCAGCATGGCCGAAGGTGCCATGACACTGCAATTAGAGGAAGCATCATTCTGAACTTAACACAATGTTACAGCGAAAGCAGCAGGACACAGCACTGGGACAATTATTTTATGTTTTTCCATTACTTACTGGACAACAAAATGGTATTTCAGCTGTTAAATGTGGGAATCTCTGTCTATACATTAAAGTGCCAGCCTCAAGAAATCCTGGTAGGAACCAGATGTGACTAACAACAGGTTGGACTCCAGAAGTGAAATCCTGATGCCACTGGATGTTTAGTAATAGTTTTGCTCATGTAAAGATTTCCCCCATATTTATTACAATTTTTAGACCACAAGATTAAGGTTAAATTTCTTTGCTTATTTAATTTTCCATAGGAAAGAGAAACTTCTGGTATTTTGCATTTAATTTTAAAAATCGTAACTCACCAATTGCATTGCTTTTATAAGAGTTATGAGAGTTAGAAGAGTTTGGTTTGCCTTCCTATCATCAAGACCAAAATAATTTTGGGCATAATTGATGATCATCTCATTCAGGTGATAGCAGGAAGAGCAGAAAAAAAAATGAGGAAAGAGACAGAAGCTATTTGCAAAGAGTTATTTGGCATTGTAGCTGACTGGTAGAGCAGGTTTTTAATAGAAAGGGGCTCAGATGGGAGACAGAAATCTATGGTATACCAGCACATATGTAAATTAATATATCTGTGTAAAGACATTTAAAACTGTCTAAAAACATTCCCCTGACAGAAGAGAACCAGGCAGCCAGGATGCATTTTACAAACAAAGCTCTGAAGAGCAGAGCTGTGTTTATGTTCCTGTCATCTTTACAGTATTTCTTGGTATTATCTAAACAAACCCATTTTGGCTCCTGCGTTCTGCTTTTTAAAAACCACGGAACAGCCTCACAGGGGCAGCATCAAATTGCTAAAGCACAGAGGAGCACTGAGCACAGGGTAGTGCCTTCTTCCCCAGATATTCCTGCAGAGCGATTGTACATCTGCTCTGGTGACAGCTACTGATTGGAAGAGACTTGAGTCCCTGTCGAGGTATTGAACTGGGAGACCTAAATACCTCTATTAAAGAAGGCTTAAGAATAGGTGTGAAATACAGGACTATGAGGAAGGCAAGACAGATGAGACACTGATGTGAATTTAGCATTCCAGTATAACTAAGGAATGACAGAAGGTTGTAGGAATTTTCTTTCTGTGCTCACTGAATCCTCAGAGTGAACAAAACTTTTCCTGTTAAGGTCAGCATCTAAGCATAAAAATGATGTTCTTGTAATCAGTGCATAAAAAGAATCAAAAAGACACTTGTTTTTGCCAAATTGCAATCTAATTTTGAAAATACAGACATGAAGGAAGAAAACACATTATAACCATCTTACCTGATATGCAGCAATGATCAACTGGAGAATATTTCCAGAATCCTTCTGTAGTTGTCCAACAGTAGCTCCAGGAATAAGCTTTGCATAGTTCTGAAAATATAAAAAGGATTTAAAGCACAAAAAAGACTAGGTGACAAGGAGGTACTATCTGGAAAAAAACCCAAAATATATTGAAGCCAACTAAAATAAATAATAGTGACATTTTCAAGGACCCTTGCAGACTTAGTAACACATCCTACTGAAAAAATCCTATGGAGAAGTGCTAATTTCACTGAAGATTAATGAGACATATATTGCTAAATCACCTCTGTGTGCTTGGAAGTTTGATACTGTAGTATTTTTCAGCTCTAATATTTCAAAATTAGAAGGAAGATATATTCTATTAACAGTTGTGTTTTTCTCTAATAAAAATAACCAAAACCAGATTCAGCTGCTCTACTGTTGCTGTACTATTCCAGAGTCTTGGACCCTACATTCAGTAAGAGCAGGCACTTTTTTGTCTTTGCAAGCAACTGAGCGGCTTGAGCACAGAAGTTAAGAAGTTTAGACTAAGGGCTACAAGAACTTGAACAAAGGCCCTTAAAAAACTGCTGCTGGTTTATGTTTGATGTCACCCTACATGTATCGCAGTGGTCTGTGGCTATGATTGATTGTATGTTGTCTTTATGTTAATAATATAGTGCCAATTTAACAATTTATTTCAGTGATAAGTTTTCTTTTCTTTTTGCATTAAATTGCATTGTGACACTAACATGAATCCAGCAGTTAGATTTTAAATATGCTCAATTAAAATTTATCTCACCTAATTGTTAACTACATGAACTTCTCTTGCTTGTACCCATGCCTTTGGAAAATGTAAATGTTCCTTATTAAAAAAACCATTCATTTTCTTTTGCAATTTATCATATCAATGCTGTTATTTTAATTTAAAAAATTCCAGAGACCTATTAATAAACACGGATTATTTGATACCCTTCTATTCCTCTTATACTTCACATCTCTAAAAGCCCTGTGATTACTTTATATATTATGTATGGAATACTCATCATTCACTAGATTTCTAAAGTGCTATTGTAAATCAGTGGGATTAACTGCATTTTATGTTACAGCTGGTGACTTTGCATTCCTGACTCCTCCTATGATTAGTGCTCTCTCAAGGATTCTTAGAATATTGAAACTCTGCATTTTGTACACATGGACCTTTCGGGAGATAATTATAAGAAAAGACGATAACCCTGGAATTTAAAGTATAGCACCCTTTAATCTGTGGTATGCAAAACAAACAGCAGGGATATACTGTTCTGAAGACTTCATTTTATCTTTCCTCTTTGAACAAAAATGTTCTGCATGGTGATACAAGGATGACGTTGCAAGCTCAGTCTAAGTGTGTATCTCCAGTCCATTGGTTAAATCCTACTTTTTAGTAAATATTTCTGTTTAACCATTAACAAGGTGAGGCAGACCAATGCTTTTGGAGTGCTACTATTGTAAAACATCCAAAAGATGTAATGCAATTTAGTCTTTTAGCAAATGTTCATTAAAAGCTGAACTGCCATTTTATAGAGATACTCTGATTCATGTTAGTGAAATTTGACAATTATTTATTTGAGTTCAGTGGGATTATGTCTAACTTTTAGCAGTGTAAATGATAGAAGAATTTTCATCATAAATACAGTGTCGTGCCAAATTTATAAAAATAATTTGAAATTCTGTACAAGTGTAGAGACTGGAGTATCTTTTGTTCAATTTTCAGCAGTGAAATGCAGTCTGAAAACCCATTTTTCAAGCTGTATTCTCCTGTGATATAAAAAGAAATAATTTTTCCAAAAAAGAGCAATTTCTGTTTGGAAAGAAGTGCTGCTTAGTTAGGATTAAAGAGGGAGGCTTTTCCCTTATCTAAGTTTGAATAAATTTTCAAAGAATTCTGCTTGAAAACAAATAATATCATCAATAATAACAACTACTTCATGAAACCTTAAAGGCTGGTGTTTTCTTTTGTACTGAAATAGAATTTACACAGTTTGTCAAAATATCATTATTATTGTAGTATTCACAGATGTTTTTGAGTGAATAGGTTTTGTAGAATAAAAACATTCTCTGCTGCTTTGATAAGACACAGCTGAGACTAGTGACGCAAAAAGTTAGACCATATATGAATATATTTTAAAAGACCTTTTTTAGGGAAAAAAAAATCCTCTTTATAAGAAATCTCAAATTATCAGGTCTTAGTGTAAGGAACTTCCTTCCCGCTCTTGCATTTAATTTTGAGTGGCCTTATAAATGTTTCCACGTGACTGCTTTTTAAGTTCTTGTGGTCAGGGAGAGCATCAGACCTAAACCTTCCCCCTCTTTCAGATTGCTGCGCAGTAGCTGTTTGGTTGCATGGATGGATCAAAACTAACAGCAGCTGTATTACAAGCATACATATTCTGTGCTTGTGCAATCCGTAATGTTTGTGTGTTAGATAATAATATACATATATGTAAGTGGATAAACTGAAAATTCAGTTGAAGAGGATCAAGAATATTAAATGACTGAATTATTTTGGGCTAAATTGTTGGGGATTACACAGGGCTAGAAATATAAAATATATATTTGACAGTCTGAACACTGCACTTAAGACTAATGGAATCTATCAAGTCTATTTAAAGACATGCTTTCCAGGTCCTCACAGTCATTTTGACGTACGTTTGTCCCTAAGAACTGAATTATAAATAGCAATGGTCAATTTAGGGGTCTGATATAATGAGATGCTGAATTCAAGTAGATTTGAGATGAGACATTTGGGGAGAGGCCTTCCACCTCAAAGGATAATTAAGTTTGAGAAGGTTTTCTGAGGGAGATTGCAGAATCTCCATCACTGAGGCTTTTAAAAAGAAGTAAAACACCAAGAGTGGTTTGAAAGTGGTGCCCAAGTGCCAGTTTTGGGTCCTCTCCCAGCTCTTCCAGGCTACCTGAGCAGTGGCCTTAACACAAGAATACCTCTCATTGTCTTGCTTTGTTCTTTTTACATTCTTAAGCATGGATACCTGGTTATTTACATTTATATTACAAATTTGAATCACGCAGATGAAAACATGACACTATCATCCTGTTTGCAGGTGCTACATATACCCTTGAAAGTATACTGTAGTGTGGAAAAACTGCACTGTAAGACTTATATATGATTTTTGTACTTGCTTTCACCAATTTTCCACATCATCTACAGGACAGAAAACAGACCATAATGACTATAGCTATCCAAATAAGTGACAAAAAGCAGTATTAAAGGATGAAAGCAGCAGATAGAACATATTGAACGGAATTACTATATACCATCAAGATAGAAGATAGTCGCACTTTTTTTTTCCTGACAAAGAAAGTAACAAGAACAAACTATTCACCAGCTGGGTTAACAATGGCTTGCATTTTTTGTTAGCTATAAAACTTCGTTTTGTGTTCCTAGTGAACAAAGGGTGCCACTTGATAACTTTGATACTGGTTTAACACTGACACAGGGATACTGAAATAGAAACACCCTGATAAGAACACTGTTGGCTAACCTGAAGGTGGCCACCAGCAATTTCCAACGGAAAATATAATGCTATCAAGTAAGAGAAAAGTTTCTTTGGACAAAATAACGTTCTGCAAATCAAAGAGATACTTCCAAACTACCTCCTAGAACAGCCCTTATTCATGCAGCTCCTATTAAAATCAGGGAAAAATTTTCACTTGTCATTAATTGGGCCCCTATTAAGAAATTGTTGAGCAATAATGAGATCTAGTAAAAGTTTTTTGATGTACAAATTTTAACTAATCTATGCTATGACTATAAAATCCCACTGCATTTGTAAATGCTTGACTTCTACTATTGTCGATCTAAATTTTCACCCTTTGGCTCAGTATTCAATACAGTCTTTAAAAAAGCCAGGCAGTCAGTCCTCCAAGATGCCGAGTGTCTCCTCCCTTGTCAGGACTGTAATCTGAGAATCAGTTTATGAAAGATGTGACTCTTGCAACTCTTTTCAAACACCTGGAGTAATAGTCTTACTCAAGACAACTCTACAACTGGAATCAGTTGCAGAAGCACTGGGAGGTCTTCCCTGGGTTACACAGAGAGCAGAAATAGAAAACCGTCGTACTGGTGAGTACCTCAAGGACTCATCTGCCCTCTCTGCTGTAACATAGGACTTTTTCCCCTACCACTTCTTTCCTATTTTCCATGTGGTTATCACACCAGAGGAGCACCTTTCTTCTTTCTCCTTTACTTTTGGCTTTCAATGAGGAATGTTGTGCAAAGGTTTTTCTTTTGGAAAGCCAAGCTTATTGTATCAGGAGGATCACCCTTATTGGCTCCCTCTCAACTAACCTGAATAAATTTGGATGCACAATTCCTCTCCCCTTGTCCCTTTTCATGCAGCTTTATGTGACCAGGCAGCCAAGCTCAGGCTGCAAAACCCCATATTATCCTGACTGATTCTTATCTAGAATTTCTTTTTGCATGTGAAGATTTCTTCCTAGCAGCAGGACTGGACAGAAAAGGAAATGAGAATTGCCAGTATCCTTCTTATTTTATTTTAGAGGGCTTTTGCTCACATTCACTGCAAAAAACAGTTAAGCAGCTGTTGGTGGCTTTGCCTCAGCTCACAGCTAGAATAACCAAAAGGCCAAAAGCAGCACAGGGCTTCAGGAGGGCTTATATCTGTCAAGGCTGAAAACAGGTACCTGCACAGATGACTGATGGAGCTGCAGGTATGAATGATACTCAATTTATTAAAAATATGAATTTCGCATATCTGTAACCACTGCTCCTCTGCTCTCCCCTCTCTCCTGGCTCCCATTTCCTATGACATGACTTCACAGAGCAGGAAATTACTTCACAGAACAGGATTCTGTGAGTCCTAATGTCAAAAATTTCTGTAATGAAGTGTTTTCCCTCAGTAGACATGAGGAATAATACATGAGGGAAGAGGACTTTGTCCATCATGTTTTGTATTTTTAACCTTGCCGCTAGTTTCTTATTTGTCTCATTGGAAAGAGACAAAGAAACAAAGAAAAATGGATAAAACTCTCAGCTCAGCTGAAAAAAAACCCCAAACATGATCTCAGAGTTGAGCATGAAGACAACTGTCTTTTTCAGAGTGTATTCTTGTCTTATCAAGGTAAGAAAAGGCTCAACTGCTCTTCTCTAGCCTTATAAAATACAAAAGGCTAATCATAATGATTACACTGAATAGTTTGTTTACACTGAAATGCTTAGTTTGACAATCGTTGACTTAAAAAATAAGTGTGATTCAACTTGAAATCCAATTTAACTTACCTAAGAACATCAAAATCAATGCATGAAGAAGCACTTCCTAAGTAAAAGAGCTTCCTCTGATATATAATTTCCTAGCTATTTTTATTACGTAAATATCTTGCAGAATTCAGTCCTTAGCACTAGAATTACTGTATCAGCTGTGAAAAAGGGTGAACTTTAAAACAAATACTGGCAAACTGAACATTTTAGTTGGCTCACCTCGTATGTGTGAACTTGCTCGTTTGTTACAGCAAAAATTAATAGAACATTGTTTTGCACAAGTTTGTCAATTAATTGTCCAATTGTGGGATACTCCTGCAAACAAACAGAAGAGAGCCACATAAATGTTTTTCATGTGCATCCAGTTGCTAATTATCTCCCATGAAACACACATTCAAATGATCATAATTAACACTGTATTCTCTGTATAGTATAAACTATAATTATGCACTACATGTATACAAAAAAAAAGATAGTGTATATAATTTCCTCACATTGTTTTTAAGGAAACCCCTTTGAGAAAAGTACAGTGCCAGTCTCCATACTGGGACACTAGGCTCAGTAGCATCTCTGATACACATATATAATCCAAAGAATAGCACAGCACCAGAGCAACTGGGTATTTGTTGCACACTGACCACCATAGTGTGTATATTCAGCATTTCTGAACACTGAATCTTAAGCTGGTATGTTCTCCTACATGAACAGTGTCCTACAAATCCCTGAACTCCTCCTGAATTCACACCCTTACAGGGAACATGATTAATAAAAATTTTGCCTTCCCTGCAGAAGGAAATATTAGTCAGCTCCATTCCCTGTGTTTTCCAGGTTAGCAGGAATAAGATTTGTGCTTTCTTTCTTCCTAGTTATAATCTATCCTAACTCTATACAAACACATTTTTCTATTTTACTGACATGTGCAATTACAAATAAAATAGATTACATGATATCTGGATTCCCCAATTTTTACACGTTTCAGTAATAAAGGTATACTTTCATTACTTTTCTAAGTTGCTCATGTTAGTCTTTAAATTTCCAGAATGCAATAGTTGTACAAAATTCATAGTAAATTACCAGAACAGTTGACATGGAATATTCATTATTGTGGTCCAAATGACAGTTCCCATCATTAGGAATAACAATCCCTGCCAGTTTACTGTCCATCCCAAAATGGGAATCAGCATCACTCACAAACACCAGCAAATGTAGAGAATCATTCCTCCATCCAATTTTTTCCTGTCATTTAAAATACATTAGTTTAGCAAGCTGTATTGCACTTACAATAAAGAAAAGCAGCAAAAGATTTAGAGAATGGCACCTCAATAAATGAAGGGATTCATTTTCAAGGGAATGTCAAAAACATCACAGCATCTCTTAACAGATGATGTTCATTCCATTGTCTTTGGCTAACATTTTGTCTCCCCATTCCTGTGTTTAATAACATGGCTGGCCATGTTCATGTCAATCTGCTTACTACTCTAAATGTAGTTAATCAAATTAAAGAAAAAAACAATCAAGAAAACAGACCCAGTAATTATACACTTGTGGTGTTTTGTTGTTTGGTTGGTTTTTTTTTTATCCCTGGCAATTAAAAAGAAACACTCAAATATTACAATATGCATGTTTTACTTGATACAGCTAGAAGTATTTTTACACAAATCTAATGATGCTCTTGGATTGCATTAAAAAAGCTTGAAAAATAACGATCTGCTGCTTTGAAATACAACCGTATAATACTAGAAGTGGTAATATACAGAATGATTAATATTATACCTAGAAGTTTCAATTACCTTGCAAACAGCTGCCTGCATAATTGCATCGAATCCTCCCTCTGGAGTGTCTATATTAGCAGAGATTTGCTGTCCTTTCACAATTTCATTGAATTTTTCAGCATCATTTGTTAGTGGCAAAACATGTTTGTATCCAAAGGTGGGTAAGCACTCATATGGTACACTTCTACAAGATAAATGAGACAGCTTATGGATAATACAGAGTAAAAAATCACTACAATGGCTACTTCACAGGCTTGTCTGGATTAGTTTTTGGTCATGTATCTCTTTTCTGTGTCTGAGATAGACCTAGTGAAAAACGTAAGACAATCAAAGAGCATCCAGTGAGGTGGGCAATGCAAACAGGTCTGCATAAAGTCTGGGAAATGCCTCCTAGAGCAGAGTAATTCAGCCAGTTAACAACATGCAGTCCTTGCCATGCTCCCTGCTGCACCTTGTTTCCATACTCAGAAGGATCTGTAGTCCCTCAATGACACTCAGAGAGTACCACCAAGCTGCTGCAGTCCTGCTTCAGGCTGCAGAGCACAGCTGCTCCTCCACGTAGGTTAGCAAAGGGCTAGGCGGCCTGGTTTTGGGGGATACTGCTAGACTTTAAGGAGAAAAAAAATGAGGAAAACAACATTGATGGGTAAATGAAACTGCTATTCTGTGTTGGGTTTGAGTTTGCATCTTCTTAGTATAGCAATGTAATAAAATTCTTATCTATATACATATATTATAGCAAATTAAAGAAAAATACATAATTATTCTGCATACCTGTGTGTTAACCCATTAAGCACATCTGTAACTAGCAGCAAAAGCTAAAGCAGAATGACTCCCAGATTCCTCTCTCCAAATAGCATAAGACTCAGCAGAATAATGATTAGAGTGTGAAAGTAAAAGAAACAGATCTTGTTTCCCAAACTGACTCATTTACAGCTGGAAGAGGGTAGAGATGCCAGTGAGGCTGTTGAATTGAATTTTATCCTAAAGATTAATATTATGACTTAATGTTGGCATGCAGATGTAGGTATTCTCCCTGCCTACCTGCAAGGGTTGTTTATTTCTGCAGCTGTAGTTTTGATAAATGGTGAAACCGGTTTTTCAACAAAAGATCCAAACCCCAGTCTGAAGTTGCTTGTCAGTTTTGACATTTCTTTAGAAAGAGTTGAACCCAGTTCTTTGATTGTATTCAGATCATCATCCATGGAGGCTGAAAGATCCATGAGGTAATAGAGATCAATTGGATAATCTTCAGTTTGGCGGACTTTGATCTGTATTGTTTCTTCATGTCCTATTAAGGTCATGGGAAAATGGGATACATATTAGCACTTCTACACAGCAGTTATGAGCAATGCCAGTTTCTTCATAAACTTACATATATGGTGAAAATCTAGTATTTTTAAATCACCAGTAGAATTAACAAAATAACTTCAAAAATCCTCTTTCAACAAAAATCTCAAACGGAGGTCTGAAAAATTAAAAGCAGTTCTAGTGTTGTTTTTCTAAACTGTTCTTCAGTAAAGCCATAAGCATAGATTTACAACTGGTTGCTATAATTTGAAAAAATACGAGAACATCATTTCAGCAGTACGCAGCTTTAGAAAATGTAGATATGAAGCTAATTGAAACTAAAGGTAGCACTTATGGGACATACTATGTACTTTAGAAATGTAAAGAAAACACAGATTTTATTCTCGCTTACAACACTATGATATGACCTAACTGGGTGTCTCTTACGTTTCTTTATTCCAAATTTTCTCCAGGAAAAATTCACATCTCAGGGACCCCAAAGTAGGTCTGGAGCATTTCCATAAATGTCACTGGTACCTTGTAAATCCTCAAAGCAAGATTTTATGCTGCCTCTGAGATATGCTGTTTGCGAGACCTGCGGGGGAGAGGCACAGGAGCAGGGCTTGGGGGGGGGGGGGGTCCATTCTCTCCCTGCCACCTCAATGGCAAGAGAATAGAAGAACTAAAAAACCATATCCTTACTTTTATGATGTACCCAGCACTTCTGGAAGTATTTTGAACTCAGTCGAACCTAGTTTTCATCTGCTGATAATTTTGAACTCAACATAGGTTTTTTACCTTTATTCTATCAAGATTTTTTTTAGACCATTCAGTCTGAGAAGCTTCAGTATATCACATTGGCTGAAAAAAAATCCCACGTCTATGAACTGACTTACCTGGTCGCAGCCTGAGAGTTAATTTTTGAGGAGAAATCTGTGTGATATCAGAATTGTTCTTCTGGGTTGCTACAGTTAGGGGCTTGTTTCTGTGAATTTCTACTTCTGAAACAGGAAATTCAATCAAATTCAACTGGCATCCTTTTGACAAAAGGTTTTCTGGGGTATCACACCTCCTGTGAATTCCAGCCGAGTCTGTGTAATTCTAAAGCAAACAGGAGAAGGAAGGGATGAGTTAAATATATTTATTGACCAGCCACCAGCACCTGGCTGATGAAAGGTCAATCCAATGCAGGGAATAGAAGCAAAGGTGCAAGTTAGCGCAAACTAGTGTAGAAAGAGATCTAGGTGGCACAGAAATCTAAATCTGCCCTTCATGGATCATGTCACACAGGTGTATAATTAATGTAACTTACACCGATTTGGTATCCTGGGAGAAACTGCTCTATTGTTGGGGAATGGGAATTGTGCCACATTGCATTTGGCTTCTCGCAGTACTGGGAATGATAACACAAAGCCCCTACAAGCCCCCGTTTTTTCTGTTACAGGATTATGCCGCAAATTTATCAACCTTTCCTAAACAGTTTTGAACTGCTGATGGAAAAACATCATTTAATAACAGAAGAGGTCTCGCAGATAAAAAACTCCTACAAATCTTGTGACAAACTGACAGTGGGGTACCCAGTGTTCACTGCTTTTTTTCTGACCTACTCTCTCCTCCACACTCATTTAACATGTTCACTGAAGCAGGTACCAAGTCCTTGTTACACTGCCTGGTGCCCCAAAAGCACCACAGTCTCCCTCCCTCGCTCCCCAGTGCCGGCGGGGCTCCCGGCGTGCCCGTGTCTATCTGGTTACGTTTGGCCCAGCTTCCTACTTGACCTTCTCCAGTCTGGAGGAAATCACAAGCTTATCAATACCAGTTGGACAGCTTGAACTTTACTTTTGTTACTCATTTCAAAGCACTTGACATGCATTCCTTTCCACCACACCGCTGCAGGGTAGGTAGTATCCCTGTGTAGCAGTGAAGTTAATGGTTAGTTTTACAAAGAGGCTTCTTTTTCCCAGAGATATGTGTAGAGTTTAGATCCTCAAAATTGGTCAGCTGCCTCCTGAACTGGAAACTGCTCTGGCCTGCAAGACCTTTTGACCATAACCAGGGCAATACCTGGCAGAACCGGCACTGAAACATTAAATTCTTGGCTGATGGTCATGGGCCTATACCATGGGGCCACTGTTTTCTCCTGAATTTGGGCAATAAACCTGGGGTTCAGTCATTAAGTCATAAATATTCTCTGAATTCATTCGGTGAAAAACTTTCCATCCAAAGCAAAACAAATAAACTTTAAACCTATTAAAACCAGAACTAGGACCCCTCTTTCCACCAAAATATCACGCCTCATGCCTGAAAATTATCAGGGATCTTACGTATTTTGGTGGAAGCAATGTTGAGACACCTGATGGGAACAGTGGTTTATTATCCTCAGATCAAATCTGTTGTCTTTGCTCAGGCAAAACTCTTGCCAACAAGTTTCTTGAATACGGTGTGCATAAAGATCATGTACCCTTTCAAAACTTTCACAGGGACATCCATATCATCTCCTTTAGTTACATGCTTTATAACTTTTCAAAACGTGTGAAGAGGCAAAGTCATATTTCAAATACAATTACAAGGTATGGTTTTATCCTACAGAAAACAGTGGTTTCTTTGGAGGCACTTGTGTTTACTCTGACACTAAAGCTCCTAGAAATTTGCACGCTTGATGTGTCATTCTCTAAGAAACAAGTGAATGAGCCTATGAAAAAAGAAAAAAATCATGTTTACTACTCTGAAGTTTTCAATAGTTCCACAGTTTTGTTTTGTTTTGGTTTTTCAAATCAATAAATTGTGTTTCATTCTTGTTTTCTGAAAATACAGGGCATTAGTCAAAATGATGTGATCAGATTTCATTTCAAGAAAATCCTGGTTTGGTTGTTAAGTACAAACATAAAATCTACTGCAAACACACTAATGTGGGTGGAGTTTTTTCTCATGGTAACATTTTTTTCAGATGGCTATATTATTTTTAGAAAATTTATTTTTTTAAAAAGTGCTGTTTGGTCTTTGTCAGCTATTTCATAAAGCAGTATGTTAGTCCCATCCTAGGTATCATTTTGCTATTCAAAAAAGCAAGAAATACTTTTAACAGCAAAGGTGTAAATTAGAAACTATCATGAAAAATACTTATTTTATTTCTCTATTATTTCTGGCAAGTTTTTAATTGTGATAGCTGACTATCTTGCCAACATTAATGAACTAAGACCTATAATGTTTACTGTGAAGTTGGGAGATATAATTTAGCATCATTTGCAGGTGAAAGTTTTAAAAGCAGAGATGTTAAGTGACTTGCCCAGGGTTACACAGAAAGTATGCAAGTCTACAACAGATATATAGCAAACAAATCCAGATTTTTTTTTTAAGCCCAATGTTTTAGCCAAAACACTTACACCTATAACATATTAATTATAAAACTGACACTATCATCATACTTAAAATCAACCACAGATTAATCATGTGTATACGCAAACTGACTGGAGCACCTTCTGTTTACACTGTCTGGCTTGGCATGTAACATGTAAGATGCAGTCTGGTCTCTGACTTGATGTCTGGAGCTTCATCATCCACGCCGTGGGTGAGCCAGCCCTGAGGCTGATGACCTGAGCCCCTCTAACAGCACTTTTATTTCTGCCTTAGATGAGGAAGGTTGGGTTTTTTAAAAAAAAAAAAACAAACAACAACAATGAATAATAGACCATAAAGGCTAGATTGAATTCCACTTTTGATCCCCATGAAGGCTTCAGTAAGCGCTGCATGCATTACAAAACCACGGGCTGACCCAATTAAGTCAATACTTCATCACTCAGAGCTACTACAAACAGTTCAAGTCTTACTTTGAAATTTTTTTGTATCATTTACTCTACCTCTTGAAAACACCAAGCGCAGTGTGGTCCGGAAAGCAAACAATCTTCACAAGTCACTGCACTTTCCTGAGAACAGATCCCTAAATTTAAATCCAAGAAGATAAAAGCCTATTAATGATGTGTTTAATCATTCAATTTATGAAGAATCCTGTCATTTAGAGAATGTGGGAGGTGAAAAATACACACATTTAGCCATATTTAGGATTACTGATAAAATTCCTTCATAATGGTACTTCTATTGGTAGAAGATTAACTCTCTAATAAAAATTAAAAACCCACAATTGCTGGCAATTTACATACTTACTGTTGCATGCTTTACGGATCGCATTCACTAAGAACATGCCACTTGGTTTTTCCAGCACACCTGATAAGGTGCTATGTGTGTTTCTGGTACGGTGCAGGTAAGACATTTCCAACATAACCAAGGATATTAAAAGAACAGATTTATGTTCACTCTATATGCTTAAAATTGCTTCACTCAGGTGTGTAGATACTTGATATGATTTTAATTTATTGTGCAAGTACCAGTGAAACAGTCACATGCATGGTATTAAGTTTCTCAGTGGATCAAACAGTGATTAGTATAACCCAAATTGCTCAAAGCCCATCTCTCTCATACATATTGTACTAAGTAATGACCACATAAATCTTAGATGAATTTGCAGGGTAGCCCTACAGCAGTCTGTCAAAAAAACCCCAAAAACCAGAAGTCATTAAACAGAAAGCAGTGATTAAATACAGGAGACAGAAATATATTTTGTGTCAACTTCAAGCAAAAAGCAATGCAAAAATGGTTTTGAAAAGGATCTCCCTACCCCTGAGCCTTACCTTGCGCATAGTTATTTCTTTGCAGAAATAGGAAACAGAGGCAAAGCAATTCAATCCCCATTCGTTTTCAGTGCTGGCTGCGTGACAAAAAAATATTAGTGTGTTAATTATTGTCCATATAAAGCTAGAATGTCGTAAAAATCATACATTCCTGGAGGGTATGTTTTCAGATGTCACCTACACCGGATCGCGAGGAAACTTCAAGCCTACCAGAAGAGACCATGAATAAAAGTGAAAACAAGGGCTACCTGGGCAGGTAAAGAGGATAAGCTGTGCATAAAGTAACGTGAACACGGTTATCACTTCCTTGTTTTCCTGGACTCCTTATAAGGTATAAGGGGAAAATTCATTCAGGTGAAGATTTCTGTCAATCCCCGTCACTCTGGGTCCTAGAGCAGCCCAGCCAAGAGAGCAGGTTTTCGTGTGTACAGCAACTCTTAAAAGGCTTCTCTAAAATAATGCCTTTAATTGTTCCCTGAGGGAGTGCGTTAGGTAGACGAATCATTACGATTGCCAAGTGAGTATACCTGGAGAGATGTAAAAATCCCATTTTTTCAGATTTCCTGATGTGGAGGGAAACTTGTAAAGGCAACTGTGGAAAAAAAAAAAAGCATTCACTTACTATAATTGAGGACCTGGCTTCAGTAATTCAAGATACAGAGTACATTTATTTTATTAACATTGCAAACTGAAAAGGAAATGCTGCGGTTGTGGATTTTTTTTAATGCGTAGAAGGAGGAATAATTGCATTACTAGTTCTGCAGCTGACTTGGAAAAAAAAAATCATGCCAGCTTTAACTGCATAAGTGGCCAAATATTCTACAGCACAGCTACAACAATATAACAAGATATTGCTCTCTCTTTCCTCCTCCCCCAATCTGGAATGAAAGCAAAATATGCATTTCTTACAACCTTATTAAAGGAAATAAAATTTCTTATTTGCAGATTTCATCTCTTCCCATCTTTTATCCTCTGCTATTGTCTGTTTTGAAAATCATTTGTTCAGGACAAGCGCTCTCTTATCATAAGGGTTTGCAACAGACTCTACACAGTGCAGCATAAAATTATATTTCATCAGTTGTGTTGCTGGCCTGAAAACATGTATCCTCTTTTTCTACAGTCAGAAATCGTACCAAAGTTAACTCATAAGGACTAGGTTGCTCTCACCAAGAGAAGTGGCAGGATCAGACCTCCCTTTTCAGACTGGTAGTAGCTGCAGTCTTGGGGCAAGATGTGACAGTGGGAATGGGTCTATGCTGGTTACACTCAACATGCCTGGAAACATTCCTGGGCACTGAGGCCAGCTGGCACAGAAAGACCTGAGTTTATACTTGCAAATTGCCTATTGGGACCATTCTAGCAACCAACTTGCGCCCAGAAATTGTTTGCAGAGAGTGTTAATTGGAAGAGGTCAAAAATTCATGCCAGGGAGCATTTTAACAGTTTAATAGCATAGATAATCTCATTCTAGTGCCTGGAAATAGTCCCAGGCACATCCGATTTTACTAGTATTTACACAGTCTGTGGGTAGTTTCATAGCAGCTCAAACTGGATTACGCCAGGCCTACCTTTGCTCTGCCCTTGTGTTCCCACCCCTTTGCTCCTGCCAGTACTCATGCCCAAACAAACAGTGAGCTGAGTCAGACTGATCCAATTAAAATCCAGTCACCTTACGTGGGGAAGGTGGGGTCTACTTTTCACCTGGGTGGGTCCTCTGAACCCAGTCCAGAGCGAGTGCCCAGGTCAAGGGAGGGAGCAGGAAAGACAGGCAGAGTTGGCAGGAAAGGTGGGAATACATTAGGCTGAATTTAGCCTAGCTTAGGCTGTTATGGAACCGTATCTTAACATTTCTGTTTACAACAACACTCCTAAGTCTCCTTCAACTGCTTTCTACACCTTGGAGTGTCCTTTGTAAGGCACTTTGTAAAGCATTGATTAGATTATGTTCCCTCAGCTGGTGAAGAGGCAACGCTGCGAGGACACTGTAACTAGGTAAGGTCAAAAAGAAGTGGAGTCAACTGAAAATGTTTGCTCATAGTAAGAAAAAAATCGTCCTGTAAGTGCCATCAAAACATCTTATGTCCTGGTTTTTTAATTCACATTGTGTACGTGTCCTTTATATTCTTGCTGCGTCTACAGCCTTGCGGAGCTCAAAACCCCAGTGCTCTCCCTTTCGAAGTAGAAGGTCACTTTGTAGCTCTTACTAGCCCCTGATAATATAACAACACTTCAAAGCATGTGCTCAAAGGACTTGGTGGCAGTCCTTCAGCCCCAAAAGGTACCAGATACCAGCAGTGTCCCAGACTAAGGACCAGCCAGCTGAACGGCTGACAATTAGCAATTAGCAAATGCTTATTCTTAGATTCAAGATATCAAACTTTTTAGTGTAAAGAGAATGAATAATACAGCCTACATAAAACTTATAAATTTTGTTTGATATTATCAGTTGCCCATTTATTTGTGTGGTAATATTTCATATAGGTCTTGGCAAGGACAGCATGACTGGAGGCTAAGTGCCTGCCTCTGAATGCGATGGCTGCCAGAGACTATCTGAATAAGTCTTGCCTGAATAAAATAACTAAGTTTCTGCAAATTATTAAGAACAGACCTCCCCAGATTGTCTGGAGAGAGCAGACAAGGAAAAGAAAGTAGCAGAACAAACAACAACAAAAACACACGGCGAGGAGGCGGTGCGGGGCAGAGAGAAAAATCAAGGTCAGTTTTGATTTTTAAAAACTCACACAATGAGAAACTCACAAGACTGGACAGAGTGGGAATAAAAACCTCACTGATAGGGGGCACAGGGGGTTAAGAGAGGTCCAGGAAGGGAGACAGCATGTACCAAGAGTAGATCTTGGGCAAGGCAAGGAAACGTAGGCAGGAAGCTGACAGATGATTCTTGTTTTGAAACACCACCGAGTATCTTGTGTAATATCTAAAGGTAAGTTGACCAGGAAATTCCACTACTAATTTAATGTTGTATTGGCTTTAACCATCACACGTGCTAGAAGAGCAGAATCGCAACCCAGAGTAGCCACATGGAGGATACGTAAAAGCCTTTGAGGTCCTGGTATTGCTCGGTTTGACAGCAAGTTTCTCCTTTGTAATGTTTGTAAGACAGAGTCTTGTTTCGTTCACCCAAATTAGAGGCATCAATTCAATGAGATATTTCAAAAAGGTAGTTTATAGTACAGACAGAGCACCATTATTATTGTTTGCGTCAGCCACTACACGTATTCATTTTGCAACAAATTCTGATCTCATTTAAATCAGAGTCATGGTTTTATAATGACACATCAGAACAGAAAACAGCTGTTTATCTTTCAGCATGGGCAATGCTGAACAATGCAAGTCTGTGGTTCTTTAAAAGATAAAACTGGTATAGGATAAAATCTTTAGTGCATTTTCCGCCATACATGGCACTTGTAATACATGAAGATTGCACAGAAAGATACTCCGTTCATTCAATCAACCTTTAACAAATTCACTGGCAAGTAACTAACATTGAGTATCGAGGTACAGAAAGCAAGCAAGCTAATGTTGGGGACAGGGAAGAACAAACAAACTAAAAAACATTAGACTCAAGTTGCATTTCATTAATAGTAGTGGCTTTTTTTTTCTCTAGAACAACGGTGTATCTTTTCTGGCATACTGAGCTGAATCCACATGTCAGCCTCATGATGGGTCTGTAAAGGTTCCAGAATGGGAAGTGTTTGCCTACAGAAGCATGCCTCACCATTGGCTCATTCAAATCTAAAATTTACTTCATTTTAGAAAAAATACCAGCCTCTCCTGCAATTAGGGCATGAACTGATGTAGCATACTTACATATAGAGGGAGACCAGCCCAAGAGAAAACAACAATTAGTTCCTTTTGTGCTAGACAAAACGTGGAAGAGGAGGTATGTTAGCTCCAGTGAAAGCTTATCAGTCAACATAAGAGATCAGTATGCCCCAAGCTCATCAGAGCAAGGAAAATCTCTTTTAATTAGAAGCTGGAGAGCTATCCATATGGAGGAGAAATTCTTGTAAGCGATCTCTCAGCCTCACACACAACCCAGCTGTTAATTCCCAATGCTCTTCTCATACACACTCTCACTCTGAAAGCCTGGAAAAATATGGAGCAATTTGAAGTCTGAATGTCCCACAGGCTGAGACAGTTCTCTGAATATTTACAAAGGTGGGGGGAAGCGTCTCCTGCACTTCAGAAAACATTTCTCTCTTCTTGCCCTTCATCAGACAGTTTTGTGGGACTGGAAGCAGTGAGGTGGGGTCTCCCTTCTCTCCTTCATATACAGTGACATTCACCTCCTCAATGCATCTGTACGAGACAAAGGGCTACACTCCTTCGGTCAGAGGCAGGTTGCTTTGCATTTGAAACGTCTGGTGACTTTATTCTCTCCCTGGTTGGCTTCAAAAATCAAATCTGTCTAGAAAGCTTCTGATGATCTCTAATGGGGAATCAAAGTAGACTTTAAAAGTTTCAGTCAAACTTTTTAACCCAAAAGATAGTAACTGAAGAATATGCAAAAGTCTACAGAATGAGCGGTTAAAGTACTTTTCTCCCAAAGAAAACATATGTTCTGTAGCTGCACAGTCAAGTGCTTCCGGACTTTTGGGCCAGCAGAAATGGATGACATTTTCTTCAGAAAAAGTCTACCCAGAAGTATATTTCTCAGCAGCCTGATAGACCCAGTTCCAAAGAAGAGCAATGACAGATGTTTCAGAAGACGCCTGTCAACTAGCCAAGCAACAAAGCCTGAAAAAAGTTTCTAAGCTTGAAACTTAGATTCATCTCTAGGAACCTAGAGGTGACACGAGTAGCCACATAGCAGTATGAACGCCTTGCAAACAGACCAATCCGGCACAGATAGAAACCACACACAAATACAGCAATGACACTGGGAGTGCCTTGTGTCTACCTTTGCTGCAGCATGGGTCCTGGCAATACTTTAGAGAGAGCTGGCAAAAACATTTGCAGAGGTAGCAACAATCCCTAACAAACAGTTGCGTTTAATGGGGAAATTCACAGTGGTGGTGAATGCGACTAATCAGCAATTTTTACTTTTTTTTTAACTTGAAATTTTTTCTAGATATAAACCAATAGTATTACCTATCAAATCACTATGTAAAATAAATAAATGCATCTGGATTTATACATTTGAAATGCCAATTGACACTATTTGCT